TCCATTCATGAGCTCCATACTGCCCTTGGGCAAGCTCATGACACTGCTTAAGGTCCCGATAATATTCATTATCAGCTTCTTAAACATCTACCTGAATCATGTTTAGAAACATTATTAAATATCTTTGACAGTATATGGACTTCTGGTAATTTCCCACCATCATGGCGCAATGCCATAATCATTCCTATTCCTAAACCTGGCCGGGATCATACGGATCCGTCTAATTACAGACCAATTTCTTTAACTAGCTGTGTCTGCAAGACAATGGAACGTATGGTTAATAATCGTCTAGTTTGGTACCTGGAAACCAACAACCTCATCACTGACATTCAATGTGGTTTCCGGAAAAATCGTAGTACCATCGATCATTTGGTACGATTGGAGTCTTTCATAAAAAAATTCCATGCTAAATAAACAACATGCTGTGTCGATTTTTTTCGATCTTGAAAAGGCATATGATACGACATGGAGGTATTGCATTTTGAAACATCTCCATGATTTTGGTTTGAGGGATCGTTTACCCCTTTTTATATCACAATTTTTAGAAGACAGACAATTTCAAGTTCGAGTGGGCTCAACCCTGTCTGACCATTATAATCAGGATCAGGGTGTCCGACAAGGCAGTATTTTGTCTGTCACATTGTTTAGTATTAAGATCAACAGTTTATCCAAGGTTTTAAATGATTCAATTGATGGATCACTTTTTGTGGATGATATTAATATTTCTTGTCATGGTAAGAATATGCATACTATTGAACGGAAAATGCAGTTGTGTTTAAACAAAATATATAAATGGTGTCTTGAAAATGGCTTTAAATGTTCTAAATCAAAAACAAATTGCATACATTTCTGCCGTAAATATAAAGCACATAAAGACCCAGAACTATCTCTAAATAGCACTCCCAATAAGGCTGTAAAAGAGGCCAAGTTCTTGGGTCTGATTTTTTACTCCCATTTAACCTTTCTTCCGCATATTAAATCCCTAAAAACTAAATGCCTGAAGGCACTCGGTTTATTGAAAGTCGTTTCTAATTCAAAGTGGGGAGGGGACCAAACTACCCTCCCACACCTGTATAGATCACTGATTATGGCTTCATCGTATATGGTGGAGCCTGCAAAAGCAACTTAAAACTATTAGATTCTGTCCACCACCAAGGTCTGAGACTTTGTCTTGGATCATTCAGAACATCTCCTGTTGACAGTCTCTACGTCGAGGCAGATGAGCCTTCTCTTACCCAACGCCGTATAAAATTATCATTACAATATATTACCAAACTATATTCTAACGAGTCTAATCGTGCATTTCACTGTATCTGTAAACCTCTTTATGAGGATTTGTACATCAAGAAATCTTTCCTTGTTCCGCCTCTTGGGCTCAGGATTAAGCCATTCATTACTGCTGCCGATATTGAGCTGGAAAATATATCTCCTTCCCGTCTTCTTTCTTCTCCTCCTTGGCAATTTGTGAGGCCACAAGTCGACTTAACACTCACTACATTTGAAAAATAAGAAACTAACGAATTACAATATAAACAAGAATATAATCAATTAAAAAGTAAATGTAATACATATAAATCCTTATTTACAGATGGGTCCAAGGATTGTGGCGCGGTTGCTTGTGCCACTGTCATTGGGTCCAAAACAATATCTTGCAGATTACCCAATGACAGATCCATTTTCACAGCAGAAGCAAAAGCAATACTAACAGCTCATAAATATATTAATAAACACCGTAAATTTAGACAACACATAATCTTTTCCGATTCTCTTTCGTGTCTTCAGGCTATTACAAATCTTCTTGTACACATCTACTTTTATTAGAAATTATTGAATTGTATAATGAGCTTGCTACTGGCCAATGCGACATCGTCTTTTGTTGGTTTCCCAGCCACGTTGGCATTTCTGGGAATATTTGCAGAATATATGTACTAAAATTAAAAAAGTTGTTAAACAAACTGTCATTAAAATTTTGACACTGTTCACTATTTGTTACGAGGGAGGAGTGCAGAGAAAGAGACAGCCAGGTGTTAGAGAAGCACATGCACAAGTGCCGACAAAGCTATTGATTCATTAATCTGTGCTGTGACGTCTCCATCCTTTCTCGCACACCTGGCTGTCCCTTTCTCTGCACTCCTCCCTCGTAACAAATATTTTAATGACAGTTTGTTAAACAACTTTTTTATTTTGAGGAAATAAATTCTGCAAAAGCTTCACAGAGTTGGTCTGACGTTTTGATTATGATCAGTGTTTCATTGAGTATTTTATGTTTATTAGTTTTCGAGTTAGATTGCAATTCATCGGTCCGCTTTTGAGCCAAACGGACTATAGGGTCCATGCAGGAAGCAGATGTACTGTAAGTCCCCATGGTCCCTAGTATGGTCATCTACCTTCAGTCGTTGGCAATCTATAGCCAGTTTTTTATATTGTATTGTCATTTGTAGTTCCAATATTTTAGATTTAGTTGCTAGTTTTATATGGATATCTGTGATACTCTAGTAGTTTTACTGTTCTTCGTCAACAGGTTTTTTAATGTCTTATTTTATTGATCTATAATATAATAATATAATTATAAACTGTTCTCGTCACGACATGGCTGAAGTATTGCCGATGTGACGATAAATATTAACTCACTCACTTCTGTTGGTTACCCAGCCACGTTGGCATTTCTCGGAATACAATGGCCGATTTTGCTGCCAAGGCAGCACTCAACAAATCTGCGAGACCACTTCTTATCCCATACTCTGATTACAAAGCTAGCATTAGAACTTACATCCGTGATCTGATGCAAAAGAAGTGGGACGCCCAAGTAGGTATCAATAAATTACATGCAATACAACCAACTATCGGTTACACCTACAATCCAGATTTGAAGAGGTCATTATGCGACGATGTCGCATTGGCCATACAAGGTACACCCACAAATATTTATTAAAAGGTGAAGATCCTCCGTTTAGTCCCCCTTGTGATGAGAGAGTCACAGTCAAGCATCTCCTGCTTGACTGTGTTGAATTCTCAATCATAAGGGATAAATATTTCAATGTTAAAACTGCTATGATCTTTTTAATACTGTTCATCTTCATTTAATTCTTGTGAAATTGATTTAATTAATGAATTTTGATAAATATATTCTGTAGATAGATGTGTTTTAATGATTGGTAGTTTTGATTAGTAACTTAGATTGTTAGTGGCTGTACCCTCAAGAGGGGTTAAAGTATCGTAAAGTTATTGTCCCCCTGAGAGGGTACGTAAGTCCCAAAACTTTGAAAGTCAATTTAAACTTACCAGGATTTTTAAACGTAGTATTCTTGTTATTTTAATTTTGGCTAACATTTCTTATAATCGCCAACGGCTGAAGGGATGTAGTAAACCCAACTAGGGTCCATGGAGGTAGCAAAGGTAGTGTAAGTCCCCATGGTCCCTGGTATGGTGATCTACCCTCAGTTGTTGGCGATCTATAGCCTATTTTTATATTGTGTTGTCCTCTATAGTAAAAATGTTTTAGATTTAATTGCTATTGCTTTTACATTTATATCTGTGATGTTCTAGTTGTTTTACTGTCCTTTGTTGACAGGATTTTATATCTTTACTAATTGTTAATCTATAACTTGTTTTAGTCACGTTATGGCTGAAATATTGCCAAAGTGACTTTAAATTTTAACTCACTCACTCACTCACTCTTACAAAGCCCATGTATTGCAATAGGTTTCTAAAACTTTAATAAAGAGATAAACGCGTGAGGTTTCAAATGTTTAATTTAGAGAGTATCAATTCGGTCTAACATTCATATAAATTTCAAACACAGTATGTTTATTTCAATTCTACCATTACCAATTTAAAATCTAAATTCTTCGTTCCACGGAAGACACTGCGTAAACAGGCATGGAACGAGAGGCGAAATGAACTCGTCTGTAAAGGGAGTGGTTGGTGCCATTCGTATTTTCTTTAACATTGCAACATAAAATAATATTCGGTCCAAAGAAGACAAACTACTGTTTTGAAATGGCGGACGAGCCAGTGTTTATATTTTAAAAATTGAAGTGACCATAGAGAAAATATTTGAACCCTGCAGAGTCGAAGAATAGATCCTTTCTGATCGACCTGCGAATCAGTGTTGTAAATTACCAAAGACTGTTGATTTTTTGACCGGCGAGTTTCGATCGTGATTTCACGTATGTGCCTTCACTCTGGCATGCGACGAAAGAGTGCCAGTGCTGGCCTAGCGCAATGCTTTGTGCACATGCAACTAACATTGTTTTCATCATTTGGGACAGGATTGTGGCCAAGCATTTTTCGAAGTGTACGAACATAGATAACCAGCAGTGACATTACAGTGACAGCCTTGCGGGGAAGCTGGCAGAGAGCAGAATTCTGGTTGTTCATTAAACTTCTTTGAGTGGATTTTAGAAGTTGGGAAGTACAATATAAAACAAACTGTATCGATAACAACTTCTTTTTATTCGTGAGTGCGAAGTTTCGATACAGATGACAACGGTACAAGAATCTGTATCGAAAAGTCGTACTCACGGTCTGTCACTCGATCCCGTCACCTCAAGCTCGCGGGATCACTAGCCTGGCGCTTTAGCCAGTTCGTCCACCGCGCCCCCTAAATATGATGTGTCAACCAAGTCAGCGATCCTCATCACTGGATCATGTTTGTCGCCTCTTACGGCAAGCATGTGTTGCTGTAGCCGAGAGCCGCGATTCAGGGCCCCGTTCCCCAAAGCGATCGTAGCGCTACGACTCCCATACTTTAACATAGACTTACGACTGTAGTAGCGCTACGATCGCTTTGAGGAACGGGGCCCAGGACTGTGCAGGGTCATGTCTTGACTGTGTAAGACCTCAACGCGGCCCTCAACTCGGGTTGCTGAAGATCTGTTCTTACCAGTCCCAAACGCTCATTGTTATCTGTTTGGTCCAATACAGGCTGGGTATTGAGCGATGTTGACGTTTTGTATTTAGCGTTTAATTTCTCACAAATTCTGTCCATTTATATTCAGCTGAATGCAGCCATGTACGCTTGGAGAATGCCGTGTCGCTGTCAGTTGTAAACCAGACTGTGGACGTTGCCTGTCGAAGTGGGTTCACCTACCTGCTGTCTCCTCCTTTACCCTGCCCTCTTGGCACTGGAGTCCTTGACATAGGAAGGTGTGCTCAGACACTTTGGACTGATCAGGTACGTAGAGGAGTGAGTGAGTGAGTTTTACGCCGCTTTTAGCAAATATTCCAGCAATATCACGACGGGGACACCAGAAATGTGCTTCACACATTGTACCCATCTGGGAAAACGAACTCGGGTCTTCGGTGTGACGAGCAGACGCTTTAACCACTAAGCTACCCCACCGCCCCCGGTACGGAGAGGAGTGAGTGGGTGGGTTAAGATGTATAATCACATCGAAAATATTTCAGCCATATTTTGACTAAAACGAGTCATATATTGATAATAAATTTCGTTCGATTTTAACAAATCTGTTAACATCTGTTAATTTGTTAGAAAATCTGTTAACATCTGTTAATTTGTTAGCAAATCTGTTTACATCTGTTAATTTGTTAGCAAATCTATTAACAAAGGACAGTAACTAGAACATCACAACGAGATAATGAAAACTAGCATGTAACTTGATGAGCAGTTTGAACAAACACATGATAGTGAGATATTCGGTGAGTAAAATAGGTTATTATTGACACATATTGGGATACAAAATACTTGTTATCTTTTCTTGACGATGACATACCAGCCACAGTCGGCTTACTGACGAATGTCGGTTTAAAACAGATTGGGGCGGGACTCTTGATTGTCAGACCTTGACGTGAATGTGGTGTCAGGGATGAAGCGTAGAGACAGGCAGTGTCAGGGATGAAGCGTAGAGACAGGCAGTGTCACGGATGATGGCAGTGTCGGATATGCAGTGTCAGGTATGAAGTGAGTGTAGAGACAGGAAGTAACAGGGATGAAGTGAGTGTAGAGACAGGAAGTGACAGGGATGAAGTGAGTGTAGAGACAGGAAGTGTCAGGGATTAAGTGAGTGAAGAGACAGACAGTGTCAGGGATGAAGTGAGTGTAGAGACAGGAAGTGTCAGGGATGAAGTGAGTGTAGAGACAGGAAGTGTCAGGGATGAAGTGAGTGTAGAGACAGGAAGTGTCAGGGATGAAGCGTAGAGACAGGAAGTGTCAGGGATGAGGGCAGTGTCGGATATGCAGTGTCAGGTATGAAGTGAGTGTAGAGACAGGGAGTAACAGGGATGAAGTGAGTGTAGAGACAGGAAGTGACCGGGATGAAGTGAGTGTAGAGATAGGAAGTGTCAGGGATGAAGTGAGTGTAGAGACAGGCAGTGTCAGGGATGAAGCGTAGAGACAGGAAGTGTCAGGGATGAGGGCAGTGTCGGATATGCAGTGTCAGGTATGAAGTGAATGTAGAGACAGGAAGTAACAGGGATGAAGTGAGTGTAGAGACAGGCAGTGTCAGGGATGAAGTAAGTGTAGAGACAGGCAGTGTCAGGGATGAAGTGAGTGTAGAGACAGGAAGTGGCAGGGATTAAGTGAGTGTAGAGACAGGCAGTGTCAGGGATGAAGTAAGTGTAGAGACAGGAAGTGGCAGGGATGAGGTGAGTGTCGGATATGCAGTGTCAGGGATGAAGTGAGTGTAGAGACAGGAAGTGGCAGGGATGAAGTTAGTGCAGAGACAGGCAGTGTCAGGGATGAAGTGAGTGTAGAGACAGGCAGTGTCAGGGATGAAGTGAGTGTAGAGACAGGCAGTGTCAGGGATGAAGTGAGTGTAGAGACAGGCAGTGTCAGGGATGAGGTGAGTGTAGAGACAGGAAGTGTCAGGGATGAAGTGAGTGTAGAGACAGGAAGTGTCAGGGATGAAGGGAGTGTAGAGACAGGAAGTGTCAGGGATGAGGTGAGTGTAGAGACAGGCAGTGTCAGGGATGAAGTGAGTGTAGAGACAGGAAGTAACAGGGATGACGTGAGTGTAGAGACAGGCAGTGTCAGGGAAGAAGTGAGTGTATTGGGTCAGTGTCCGATCACCCTTTGAATAGTAACCGATTTGTCGGATTGGAGTCGGGAGAGCGTTGGAAGTGTCAGATTAGTGTCAGGTCACCCTTGAATTACAATCCGACCACAGTCGGATCAGTCGGACGCCGCTGATGGTTATGGTGGACAGACATCAGGCCGCTACCAGTCTTTCATCCGATTAACCCGATCAATGTTGGATCTCTTTCGGATTTTACGGTAAACAGGGACCCCCCAAAAAGATGTCGGGTGAATTTTCATCGGGAACTCATCCGAACGCTGAAATTTTTGGCAAAATTGGGATCAGTTCGGCTTCAGATGAGGTTCCGATGGTCAGTGGAATGGGGGTGTTAAACAATACAAACAAACCAACAAAAAATACTGATGCGACATAATATCTTACTCACACGGTATGTTTTTCTTGTTGACAGGTGACTCCATTTGTTACTGATCTGCCTGCACCGTTATCCACTGGGGCGGAGATAAGAGTGAGAGGTTCTGGTGATGGAGGGAGCAGGTAAGTTTTCGAAAGTTGTCAATTGAATTGAATTGAATTCAAAATTTATTCCGACAAACCACCATTGGTGGTACAGGAACAGTACAATAAAGTAATAACATACATGATGAGTTGTTATGATCACTTGGTAACAGTGAATATATCAGTGTTTATCTTTGTATAGTGTTATTGGTAATTCTTATAAATCTTGAAATATTCTTAACAAGTGAATAATCAGCTAACGTAAACAATTGTTTTACAAGATTCGGCCATTTACTGTAATAAGAGGGACATACTGGGATCTTTTGTTGTCAAATAACGAGCATTTAAATAGATAGTGGAATTCGTCGGTTATCGCCGGTGAATTACAAATATTTACAATTTCTGTTTATTCCTGGTATATTATTCCCATTGGTAGGTGATGGTTCGATGTCCGAAATGACATAATGGGCCGAGAGATGTAGACAGGAAATAGAAAGGTACTTTTCAAACGACGGCAGATCTTTGAACAATTTATAATAATTACCCTTTGAACTTATATGAATATATCTTCCCTCCATTTCTGTATAAAATGATCTTTAAGAGTTGATGCAACCATTGACACTAACCACTGTATACAAACACAATTAGGGTTATCAAATACATAAGTTAAGCCACAACTGCTTAAAATACTTTTTATGTGAGATATCCATACGTTCTTATTACGGAGATTAAGAAAATTGTCTAGTTTGAAAAGTTGAAGGACACGCGATGATAACCTATACGGGGAAGATTCTGTTTCTAAATTATACCAAAATGTGATCATCCGTTTAGCTGTTGTAATGTTCAAAGGGAAGCGACCCAGTTCGCCATGAACCATGAAGTTAGGGGTTGATAATCGTAATCCTGCAGCAAACTTGAGAATTTAAGATGAAACATTTCAACATTTACAGTAGTTTCATACCCGCACGTTTCCTTGCCATATAAGGCAATGGGTAGTATTAAAATATCGAACAGATTAATTACAGTATCACGTGCCAAATTGAAGTTTCTTGATTTCTCCAGTTATGCAAACATGGCTTTCTTAGAACTAGACAATAACTCATTGATTGCGAAATTAAATCTCCTATTTAGGTGAAGGTTGATGCCAAGATACGTATAATTATGTACAATTTCAATTGGTTTAGAGTCAAACTGAAAAGATAGCTTAGATTTATTACCGACACCCACTCCAAATATAATAATCTTAGTTTTTGCTATGTTAACACGAAGGTTCCATGTATCACAATATGTTTTAAATACATCAAGGGAATTCACTAGTTCTCTCTGGGTTTCGCCTAGAAGTATCGCATCATCTGCATAAAGCAAAATAATGAATTTGATACACTTGTACACAAAATCATCATACACACAACTGACGTCGACGCCCTTACAACCTTTGTTCTCAAGAAAAACATCCAAATCATTGAGAAAAATCGAAAATAATAACGGTGAGAGATTTTCCCATTGTCGAACACCAGAATAACTAAAGAAGAAATTGGAAATTTGGTTGTCAACCATTACACAAGATTTTATATTACTATATATACTTTGAATTGACTTGAAGAATCTCTCCTCTATGTTGTATGATAACATTTTGTGCCAAAGACCTAATCTCCATACACGATCGAACGCTTTTGTAAAATCGATAAAAGCACAACAAAGTTTTCGTTTGCAGGTTTTGAGATACTGGTTTAACATATATAAAAAAATGAATATATTATCAAGCGTTGACATGTTTTCTCGAAAGCCAGCCTGTGATGGGCTAAGAAATAACTTTCCTAAACAACTAAGAATTGTAATGGGCCGGTAAGAGTTCGGTCAGATCTGTATCGATGCTGTGGACTTTCATTCTGGTTCATAGCGAGTCATGAGGTTTCATTTTCAATACATACAAAAGCGAGACGGACATTGTAGCTTTACATATTTAGGACTAATAGCGAAACGAAGTTTCAATATATTACAAGCTATATTCATGAACAACCAATTCAGTCATCAAATGATAAATTACAATAGAATAGTACAGTGAAAAGATATTGAACCATTCACAGATGATGACTGCGGATCTTTAACACAACCTGTACATACTTCACATGATATTGTTCTTGAATAACAATGCCTGTCAAGGTAACTCAGTGTTAACAAAACTTCAAAAGGTTTTAGGGATGCGGTATGACTGGAATTTAAGAAGCTGAGTATACTTCCGCACATCGCTGTCTCATGTTTAGGTTCAAGGATACCAAATCTCAAATTATGAAAACCCCACATAGATTAACATTTGAGGTCTCAGATTAAATCACAAAACTTACAGGGGAGTTATTTGTAAAATCTTTAAGATTAATTTTTGTAATTGTTTTTTCTTTGTGAAACCAACAATAATTATGGGGTTTAGTGTAGCGAAGCTCGTGAACCAACCTTGTAAGAAAAACAAATTCCCATGCGCAAAAGGTCTGAACTGGCGGACCGAGCCACATATTACGAACTTGTATGTGTAACGGGTTTGACCACCCGATCCTGTTAGTCGCCTCTTAAGACAAGCTGGATGGCTGATGTCCAAATCTAAACCGGAATTCCACGGATCTTTACTTTTACAGTACAGGCATTCTCTTACAAGGGACTGAGGCTGGTAACACTGTGTTCCTTCTGGCCATCCGCTGGTCAAGACTTGACGCAATCTTCAATACAGAATCTTCTGGCTCCTGGGGGTCTGAAATTGGGCCATCCGGCTTCATCTTTTCTCCAAACGTGGTGTTCGATGCCCTCGTGCGAATAACAACAACCAAGTTCATGGTAGGTGAACTGTTCTTTATGACTACAAATAAACAGGCTATAAAACAAGTTGCCAAACAAATTAGAACGGTTTCTCGTTATACAGTTTTCCCGGAAATTATTGAGAAAATCTTTGTTTGCTAATACTGATAGATAATAGAATATTAAAACAGGCGTTACATTTTGTTGTGAGGTACTCAGTATGGGAGGCAACTCTTGTAGGCTTAAGAATGAAGCTTACTACATCATGAGTTATCCCCACTTGTGCAGCAGACGGCTTCCTATTGACAAAGGAAAAGAAAGGAAAGCTGGTTCTAAATAATTTTGAATAGGTAGTGGCTAATGCAAAAACGTTAGCTGGTAGACATTAAATTCCTCTGTCTACAGTACACAGAAGTTTGAAGAATATTCAGTCAGGAGTTGGGATTGAGCATAAGACATGGGCAGGGAGTCCAAGGAAGTTCAGTACTACGGATCGCCGACAACGTGGTGAGATAGTGAGTAGGGGAAAATTGAAAAGCGTTGAGAATATCACAACTGGGATGATTAACAGAGGAAGTCCTCAGGTATGTAATGGATCCCTTACACAAGAATTATAAAGATTGCATCACCATTGATGAAAGATGCACAAAAAGACAGACGTTTAAACTGGTGTAGGGCTCGCGAACATCACGACTGGGATAATGATTTCTTTTCTGATGAGTGTGTGGGTGAGTTTACGCCTCAATCAGCGCTATTCCAGCTATATGGCGGTGGTCTGTAAATAATCGAGTCTGGACCAGACAATCCAGTGATCAACAGCATAGGCATCGATCTGCGCAATTGAGAACCGATGACATGTGTCAACCAAGTCAGCGAGCCTGACCACCCGATCCCGTTAGTCGCCTCTTACGTCAAGCATGGGTTACTGAAGATCGATATTCTAACCCGGACCTTCACGGGTATCTTTTTCTGATGAAAGTTTGTTCCGGACTGTGTGAAAGTATGGACAGGAGATACCGTCAAACATATCTACCAACGCCCAAAACATAGCCCGAAATTTCACATGTGGGATGGCATATCATCACGTGGAGTGACGCTGTTGTGTATTTTCACTGGAAATTTGACATCTTAAATGGTCACCTCTTCCAACTGCCTACAGCTTCGAGCCGATCTGTTGATAATGAGAATGGGTAGAAAAGGACATATTTACAAATGTTGAAGCAATCAGAATTGTGCTATGTGGTTATCCTGAGATCTTTCTGTTTATTTATGAGTGTATGAAGATAATTGGATTTTCCAGCATGATAACGACCCAAACACACTGCAGGCTATACAAAACAGTGGTTGTCGGACGAAAATGTTCAAGTTTTAGACTGGCCCAGCTACAGCCAATATATTAACCCTATTAAGAATGTGCGGAGACTACTGATAGACAGAATAAACCAAAAAGGACTTGAGGACATGGAGAAAGAAGTGGTCGAATATTGGGATACGCTGTGACTCGATTTCCTACAAACTTTGATCAGTAGTGTACCTAGGCGCATTCAGTCGTGTATTGCAGGGCAAAGAGGTCTCACAAAGTACTGAAAAGACACTTAGACTGTGACAGAATCATATCTCAACATCTTCATTGAAGTGGGACGTCTTTAGTTTTATATACATGTGTTAGGTATTTGCCGAAACAACTTTCTCAATAATTTCTGGGAATACTATATAGAGGCTATGTTCAAGGTATTGTTCATTAGTTTCAACATCTATATATACTTCCACATTATATAAGCTGCTTTAGCAGGCTAAAGAAGAGACAATGAAGCAACAATCTAATCTGGAGCGGATAAATAACTAGGGTCCCGATCCACAACGCGTTCTTAGCGTTTACTCATCTTCCTTACACGACCGTTTTGTGGATCGTAACTTTCTGGTTTATCATAGGCTTACAAATGTCGTATCGCTACAACCGTTTTGTGGATCGCGACCGTGATCCACAACGCGTTCTTAGAGTTACGACCTGTCATAACTCTCTGGTTTATCATAGGCTTACGAATGTCGTATCGCTACGACCGTTTTGTGGATCGCGACCGTGAAAATTAACAAATAATAGAGTTACATTTTTTTGGCGTTCACCAGCTGGAAAAGGAATGAGTTTTCAAAGCATCGGAACATGTAAACAGTGCCAATCTATTATTGTCAGTGAGGTACACGAATTTCATGACAGAGACTATGAATTGCCCAAGTTCGATTTTTGGTCGAAGCCTCAGTTAATGAGTGCAATTTGGTGTCCGACTTTGAGAGCGTGGGGTCAGATACCGAATGGTACTCAAACAAATACAAGTACACGCATCTGTCCTTTTCCACGAAAGCGCAGGCCAAAATATCACACGTTAAATAATACTTAAGTGTGCACTTTTAAGCTGCTCATTGAAACCCACTTGTTCCGCTCAGCATTCCACAAGACCCTCAGGATTATGCGTATATATGTGCATTGAGTTGGTTTTAACTTTGTCATTGCGCCAGTGAGCACCCGCCGATGGAGGCTGGGCGCTTTAACAATCAACTATGTTTTACATATTAAAGGTAGTAACCAGCAGAGATGGTCATCCTGGCAGTCAGGAAATTCAATGATACAAATCTTTGACTTTATCAAAAAGGACACGATCAGGTTTAGAAACGAAACATACAACTTTATGGATGACAACTTCTTATGACGCCATGGACATGGTCAGGGTCGTACCATGGATGGACCTCAGAGTCAAAGCCACAGGCATGGCGGAGACGGTAGTAGAAGCAACGAGCCATGCCATCATGTCGTTTAAGATATGCTGTTTGTGCCAAAGACGGGCATCCACTGACAAGGTGTTGGACGGTCTCTGTAAATTCACTGCACAATCAACAAATATTTTCTTTAATAATCACATTTTGGCCATTGCGAGTGGGAAGTGACTGGTCCTGAGCAGCAATAAGGAAGCCCTTAGTTTCACATTTAAGACCAGCCGACTACATCCAGGCGAAAAAGTCGGTTGCATTACTGTTCTGTTCCACAAACTGCATGTACACACGATTCAATGGTTTCTCAGAAAGCCTCTCCACAAATGACCGACTCTGGGCAGACTTGGTGAAGAACTTCACCTGGTTTACTACCATCACTGTACCGTACAGCAGTACATCGCCATCAACAAAATCACCCTCAAATTTCAGATTCTGTCCAACAGCCTTGGCACGCTTAAAATAGCTGTGCAATTCCTTGCTTTTATCACGAGTCTTGACATGCATCACCAGAGGATCAAATAAATATGTGCAAAGTACACCACGAGGGTGGTGGGCTTGGTTATCAGACATGACCCTTCTGGGTCAGGCTATCAAGACCCTGAACTCAGGATCTTGTTTAGTCTAATCAACTACTCCAAAGGAATAGGAGAGGACTGGCACAGCAAAAGTATTGGTAGCTTTGGCCTTGTTTCGAGTATTTAGCTCTGAGCTCAAGATTTTCTTTAAGCGAGATTTATACTCAGCCCGAAGTTTGTCTTTAATCTGGGCATTCTAGAGCTTGTCTCGAACTTGCATTCCAAGATAGGTGTAGGCCGGATCTTCCACAAGATGTCCAATAACTCCTCCTCCCTGTAACTTGACTAATCCACCATTAACTACCTTGCCACGTTTCAAATGAAGAGTATTACATTTGTCGAGTCCAAAAGTCATGCCAATATCATTAGAAAAGTACTCCACAAGGAGAACCTGTTCTTACAAATTGGTATCTCCTTTGGCAAGGAGCTCGATGTCATCCGTGTAAGGAACATGAGTAAACGGTGTTGGGATGTGTCTGCTGAGGAGGTTGTGGATGATAACCCTCCTCCCTATTGAGCAGAAAGCTCAAATGATTTAAAGACAGACACAAAAGCAAAGGACAGAACGAATGCCCCTGGAATCTTCCCCTTCTGATTGAAATAGATTCCCAAGTCTGCACCTGCCCTTGCTGGAACATCTCTAGTTATTATTATGTTTCACAGATTGAAGATTATATGCAGCAGAGAGGGTTCGGGTGATCCTGGCACAGTCAGGCTGGTAAGGCTCATCATTAGCTTAGGGCCCTTGCCCTCTTTACACGCAGCCCAGACAGCGAATGGGACTTCTCCCAGGAACCTCTGGCTAGTCGAACCCACCAGAAATATGTAGACTCCCCAACACTGCATCACTGCAGTCTTCAATCACTTGAAGAAGGGGCAAGAAGTAGCCCAGAAACGTCGTGTTATACAATAAAGAAGAAGTTGCCATCCATATACTCGTTTTCTGTATTCTTCTGCATTTCTTGATTCGTCCAGTCAACTACTCCAAAGGAATAGGAGAGGACTGGCACAGCAAAAGTATTGGTGGCTTTGACCTTGTTACGAGCATTTAGCTCTGAGCTCCAGATTTTCTTTAAACGAGATTTGTACTCGGCCCGAAGTTTTTTTTGAATTTGGGCATTCAGGAGCTGGTCTCGAACTTGCATTCCAAGATAGGTTTAGGCCTGATCTTCCACAAGATGCTCAATAACTCATCCCCCTTGTAACTTGACCGATCCATCATTAACTACCTTGCCACGCTTCAAATAAAGAGTATTACATTTGTCGAGTCCAAATGTCATGCCAATATCATTAGAAAAGGACTCGACAAGGAGAACCTGTTCTTTCAAATTGGAATCTCCTTTGGCAAGGAGTTCGATGTCATCCATGTAAAGGAGATGAGTAAGAGGTGTTGGGGATCTGTGCTGAGGAGGTCCGGGATGGTAACCCTCCTCTCTGTTGAGCAGAAAGCTCAAAGGATTTAGAGACAAACAAAAAAGCAAATGACTAAAGGAATCCCCCTGGAAAATTCCCCTTCTGATTGGAATAGATTCCGAAGTCTGCACCTGCCCTTGCGAGTATATCTCAAGTTGAGTGGACCAGCAACACATTAAAGACTTGAGTAAATCAAGTAGTCGCTCAAGGAGGTCAATACAATGAAGAGACTTCAGAATCCATTCGTGAGGAACAGAGTCGTATGCTTTTTTGTAGTCAATCCAGCACATGGAGAGGTTGCAGTGATATGTTTTAGCCTCTTCCAAAATCATTTATTGTATAAGAAGTTGATCCTTGCACCCGCAACATCCCACTCTCGCCCCCTTCTGCTCTCTGTAAATTATATCATTGGAAGAGCAGTAAGATGACACGAGGTTTGTCAAACACCCTGTGAATATTTTGTATTGTGTATTCAAACATGTGATAGGGCGGAAGTTTTTGGAATCAGTCAAGTGTCCGTTCTTGGGAAGGAGTATTGTGCGAACTTTGCAGAACCATGGAGGAAAATCACCTGTGTCCACAAGAGAATTGAAACAGTGAAGTAATGGTGTTTGGACACAGGGGAACAGTTTCAAATACCGGTTTCGAATGCCATCACGCCCTGGAGCTGTATTAGATTTGGACTTTTTGATGACACTTTTCAGGCAATCTGGTGAGATGTAACAGACAAACGACCTATTTACTTTCTCATGCATTGCATGGTCATAATCACGGACCCATGGTGCCTCAAGGTTACAGTTGCCGGGTATAGACCACAACTGTTTCCAGAACCTTTCATTGGCATCCATGGAAGGCCGTTTATCATGCTCACCATCACCCTATGTTTTCAGTTGCCTGTAGAAGTGTTTTTCATTATTTCTAAAAAGTTTATTTTGTTTGATAATTTATTTTTCTTTTCCCATTTTTTTTTTCTTTCAGTCCAGACTTTAATTTTTGCCTTAAGGGAATCGACGATTTGAAGAAGTACCTTTTCTTTTGTTGTCTTGTACTGCAAATTTAATTTTTTTCCAAATTGTCTTAGTTTCAGGCACAGCTCTATCCAGATTTTTTTTCTCGTTTCCGTTAGTTTTACTTAAAACCGTTTTTTCTTTGGTGTATTGTTCTTAGTATTAGTTGTTTTTTCTTTGGAAACGATGTGAATTTCCTCCAAGGTTCGAGCGGCAGCTTAGTCACAACAATTAACTTCATGTAATGAACAGTGCGATGGAAGTTTCATAGAAATAATGTCATTTAATAAATTAATTTCATGTTTGGGAAAAGATACATTTGTTTGTTGAATTGGCCTCCGTTTTTCTAAAGGTATGTCAAATATTTCATCATAAACAGAATGAAACAACATGTATATATACACTTGGTTTTCGGAAAGATCTGCAACTGAAGAAGAGGAAGAGTGAGCATCCGAAATTTCGGGGCCAATTGGCTCTATGCCAGAAGAGTTTCCATCAGCAAGAGGAAAGAGGTTGACACGGACGTTCATAAGAAGGTTTGGGTCTGCTGCCACTTGAGCATTCTGTTCATGCAAAGGTTCCTGACAGGCACCAGTTGTGGGTTGAACTGGCTCACGGGGCATGAGATTTTTAAGCCGCCGGAATTGATCTCGAAGATTTTGCTCCTTCAGGTAAGCATACATGGGCGTGGCATTGTCCCAATGCAGCTTCAGCGACTTGCCATTGATACGTGGATTATCAGGCCATCCTGTCGCTCTCGCACCCTCAAGTAGTGTGGTTGTAAGGTGGTATGACAAAGATATTCTTGGTCGGGTTCTGTGCCTTCCCCTGGGGCAAGTCCAATCTCCAGAGTGGTTGGTTTCACTACCCGAGGAAGGCTGACTGGGCTGCGGAGTTAAAAGATGGTTTGCTCCTTGTTTTTCGGTAACCCAGTGAAAAAAACAGTTTTGGGGGGTCAGCCCTAACTGGGTGATGTACGTTTGGTTCAGGGAATATAATTCCCTTATCTACGCACACCACGAAGAGGCGTACATCATCAGGCCCAAGTCCAAATTATTATGTTTATTATTTTTATTATCATTATTGCTTTTAATTTCAGATTTTCATCAATGGCAGCAACTTCTATGAAGCCCCAATACGGATTTCTGTGCAGAAGGCCGCCATTCTTCGGGTCAGTTTCAGTCGCATTGACTCAGTGGAAGTGAAATACCCATGAGACATTTTTCTTCTTGTCAGCGAGCCTATTAGCATGATCCAGTCAGTCGCCTCTTACGACGACAAGGGTTACTGAAGATTAATTCTAACCCGGATCTTTCCTGTTGTCTCAAAATAATGAATGATGTTATGCGCATTAACCTATGTTATTACATACCAACAAACAAGAAAGAAATATTATAAGTTGTTCACTGGTACCTCGGGGGGCATGGGTTGATGCACCCTCTATGTTTGTTTATGTTCCCTTCGGGCTCAGGGAACATAAACAAACATCAAGGGTTCATCAACCCATGGGCCCCGAGGGACCAGTGAACAACGTATTTATCTTACCGAACACCTTAATGTAAATTTTGAATTGTTTGAAGCACGGGTAGAAATCTTTTTGTGGCCATCGCTAGATTTTGCTGAAGAAAAACAGATTTAGAGTTATCTCCCTTCCATCGATTTGCGTTCGCAAAACATCGGTAATTTCCGTACATCATATACGTGATTCAATGTAATTCGAGATAAAGAACTACTACCTCGAAGTACCAAATGAGTTGCCATTGACAGCGGGTACATTGAAACGTTACTCGCTTGTAAGCGGGATACATTGAAAATAATAGAAAATAATAGCGCTCAGCCAGTCAGAAAGCGACATTTATGTGTGAGGTAAGATAATACACAATACACAATGAACAGCTGGAATAATATAGTATCTTGGTTTTAGAAAAGCAGAGCTACTTTTATTCGCGTGCTTTTAATCGTAGAATATATTGTTCTTTTACTGTTTGACGTATTTGGTGTACAATTGCCACCGGCTGAAGGGATGGTGTAAATCCTGGTAGGGTCCAAGCAATTAGCAAAAGTACTGTAAGTCCCCATGGTCCCTAGTATGGTGACCTACCTTGAGTTGCTGGCCATCCATAGCCAGTTTTTTTATACTGCAGCGTTTAAAATAAAAATCAAATTTTAGAGACAGATGCTAGTTACAAATTCTTTCTGTGATATTCTTATTGTTATTAATGTCCCTTTTCGACAGGTTTTTATAGTTAACTGTATGTATCGTGAATTCAAGTCACGATACAGCTGCAATCCAGTGATCAACAGCATGAGCATCAATATTGCTTTCATGTAAATCTGACCTCAATCACTTACTATTCATCTGACTTTAACATTCAATGAAGCATTTCTGAAGTTCCCAATGGTCTACCCAGGAAATAAACCCCTAGCTTGTATAGAGATGGAGTTGAACGGGACATATATATGCTCATGTAATATAATTCTCCTTATCACCGCGACAAGGTATATTCCTGCTATCATAACGTCAACATTTGTCAAACACGGGTACGCGAACGCCGCAAACAGTAGATGAATGTAAGCAGATGAAAAGCATTTTAGTGAAAATGGAAATATAACACGAAAGATCATTACTGTGACATTGACGTTATATATACACCACTCGCACAAAACGTTCACCTGAGAAGATCCGAGTTGCTGTTATGCAATCAATGCTTGTTATAAGAAGCCTTTGTTAACCCATACTTGTTATAGGAAGCCTTTGTTAACCCAAGCTTGTTATAGGAAGCCTTTGTTAACCCTTGCTTGTTATAGGAAGCCTCTGTTACCCCATGCCTGTTAAAGGAAGCCTTTGTTAACCCATGCTTGTTATGGGAAGAATTTGTTAACCCATGCTTGTTATGGGAAGCCTTTGTTAACCCATGCTTGTTATAGGAAGCCTTTGTTACCCCATGCTTGTTATAGGAAGCCTTTGTTAACCCATGCTTGTTATGGGAAGAATTTGTTAACCCATGCTTGTTATGGGAAGCCTTTGTTAACCCATGCTTGTTATAGGAAGCCTTTGTTACCCCATGCTTGTTATAGGAAGTCTTTGTTAACCCATGCCTGTTATAGGAAGCCTTTGTTAGCCCATGCTTGTTATAGGAAGCCTTTGTTAACCCATGCCTGTTATAGGAAGAATGTGTTAACCCATGCTTGTTATGGGAAGCCTTTGTTAACCCATGCTTGTTATGGGAAGCCTTTGTTAACCAATTCTTGTCATAGGGAGCCTTTGTTAATCCATGCATGCCTGTTATAGGAAGCCTTTGTTAACCCATGCTTGTTACAGGAAGCCTTTGTTAACCCATGTCAGTCATAGGAAGCCTTTGTTAACCCATGCTTGTTTTAGGAAGCCTTTGTTAACCGATGCTTGTTATGGGAAGCCTCTGTTAACCCTTGTTTGTTATAGGAAGCCTTTGTTACCCCATGCCTGTTATAGGAAGCCTTTGTTACCCCATGCTTGTTATAGGAAGCCTTTGTTAACCCATGCCTGTTATAGGAAGCCTTTGTAAACCAATGCCTGTTATAGGAAGCCTTTGTTAGCCCATGCTTGTTATAAGAAGCCTTTGTTAGCCCATGCTTGTTATAGGAAGCCTTTGTTAACCGATGCTTGTTATGGGAAGTCTTTGTTAACCCATGCCTGTTATAGGAAGCCTTTGTTAACCCATGCCTGTTATAGGAAGCCTTTGTCAGCCCATTCTTGTTATAAGAAGCCTTTGTTAGCCCATACTTGTTATACGAAGCCTTTGTTAACCCATGCTTGTTACAGGAAGCCTTTGTTAACCCATGTCAGTCATAGGAAGCCTTTGTTAACCCATGCTTGTTTTAGGAAGCCTTTGTTAACCGATGCTTGTTATGGGAAGCCTCTGTTAACCCTTGTTTGTTATAGGAAGCCTTTGTTACCCCATGCCTGTTATAGGAAGCCTTTGTTACCCCATGCTTGTTATAGGAAGCCTTTGTTAACCCATGCCTGTTATAGGAAGCCTTTGTAAACCAATGCCTGTTATAGGAAGCCTTTGTTAGCCCATGCTTGTTATAAGAAGCCTTTGTTAGCCCATGCTTGTTATAGGAAGCCTTTGTTAACCGATGCTTGTTATGGGAAGTCTTTGTTAACCCATGCCTGTTATAGGAAGCCTTTGTTAACCCATGCCTGTTATAGGAAGCCTTTGTCAACCCATGCTTGTTATAGGAAGCCTTTGTTAACCCATGCTTGTTATAGGAAGCCTTTGTTAACCCATGCTTGTTATAGGAAGCCTTTGTTTACCCATGCTTGTCGTAAGATGCGACTCACTTGTGGTCAGGCCGGTTGACTTGGTTTCATGTCATTGTGTCCCAGTTTCGTAGATCGAAGCTCTTGATGTCAACCACTGGATTCTGTGGTCTAAATTCGTCTTTACCAGACCCCAGTAAAATCACGCATGTCTGAGTGTGATAAACAACAAACAATCAGTTCTGTTCATGCAAGAACCCACCATACTGTTACTACTTCTTCAGATGACATTGAGATGATCTTTACTTCCTTCAAAGACCGACTCCGTGGTGTAGTGGTTAGAGCGTCCGCCCGGAGAGCGGAAGGTCACGGGTTCAATCCTGGACCGCGTCATACCAAAAGACGTTAAAATATGGTACTTGTTGGTTCCTGCCTGGCGTTCGGCATTAATGGGTACAACAAGGACTGGTCGGCTCGGAGTCAGTATACTGTGTCTGAGTGGGGTATTCATGCTTCACTGCGGCGTGGTATCTCAGTGGGCTAGCACTATAAAACCAAGTCTGGGCTAGTACAAGCAGCCGCACGTACACATACACACGCATGCACGTCGTCATATGAGCGAAATATTCTCAAGCACGACGTTAAACCCAATTTCACCTCACCTCACCTTACCTCCTACAGCCATTTTGGAATATTGGTAACACGGCGGCTGATGCTGATGCAACAGCAGGACTCAACAAATCTGTTGGCATCACTTCTCATCCGCTACACAGGGTGTAAACCAGTCATTAGATGTTACACTAGAGATCGAATAAAAAGAAGAGGGTGGTTATCTTTAGTCTGTTTATATACTGTATTGTCTTCAAACTAATTTTAGATGTACATGATTAGTTTACATGTATACCTGTGGTATTCTTGTTGTTATAAGTGTCTGAAATACTGCCGTTGTGACCATAATTCTTAAGTCACTCACTCCCACAGATGTTGAAGATATATTTATAATAATTTGATATATTATAGTTAAATGTAACATATCGAAACAAAAGGTTAATCCAACATCTGTAGGTAAACCGACAAACATAAAGGATTGTGATTAACAAATGTATTCTAATGATTACCTCTACTACCTTTAGCTGATGGTTCAAAATAGAGTGACACAACAATTGCTGGTGTCCACGTCGTGATATTGCTGGAATACTGCTAAAAGCGGCACAACAATTGCAATGGTGGTAAAGTTATTGTAGTATACATCATAGCAGTAAAGACAGTGATGGTAATGTTCTCACTACTGCTCGCTTTTGAATATAACATACAAGAAGCCTCATGGTTAAAGCGTCCGCTCGTAACGCTGAACTCCCGGGTTTGATTCCCCACATGGGTACAATGTGTGAACCCCATTTCTGGTGTCCCCGTCGTCATATTGCTAAAATAATGCTAAAAGCGGTGCAAAGCCATACCAACATCAACCGTGACCAAGGTTATTACATACATAGTGCATACTACTAACTCATCAATGTGAGTGAGTGAGTGAGTTTAGTTTTACGCCGCACTCAGCAATATTCCAACTATATGGCGGTCTGTAAATAATCGAGTCTGGACCAGCCAATCCAGTGATCAACAGCATGAGCATCGAGCTGCGCAATTGGGAACCGATGACATGTGTCAACCAAGTCAGCGAGCCTGACCACCCGATCCCATTAGTCGCCTCTGTATTGCTATCAACAGCAATAAAGAGGTTGTTAATCCATATATTGTTATCCTTAACTTAACTTACTGCTTAGCCACTTATGTCAGTTATATTGTTGTCACTGTTACATGTTGTATAATTATAGACATCTCCCCCTCTTCATGTATTATTCCTGCTTGACAACGGGACAAGAATCTGTATCGAAACGTCGCACTCAAGAAATAAAGAAGTTGTTATCCATAACGTTTGTTCTATAGTCTACATTGATTGGAGGTTATACCCATTTCTTGCCGCGATGAAGTCGTGTTACAGCGGTGCCACTTTGGACATTGACATTATACACGTCAGTTCTTTGCAATCGTCAAAAATGACATTATACACATTCATTTAGTGAAAGGGAACATGCATCTATTTCCATCCTTCAATCGTCACATATGACATTACACACAAAGTCATTCATTTTAGTGAAAGGGGAAGATGCAGAGAGACACACAATTTATTAAAGTCTCACCTCAATGTTGCA